GTAAATTCACTCGTCCCACTGGGTGGACGACTCCTCCTCCAAACCCTACTAAAGGGTAGGATGCCGGATGTATGCAATCAGTCTGATATTTGAGTTTTGACAGACATTTGCTACTGATAAGATCTGAGGAGCTTCCGGTATCTATAAGGATTCAGCCAACTCTCTGGTTGGCCACTTTACATTCAATAACGATAGGGTCATCATGCGGCCCCCTTACCCCTCCTAGATCTTTTTCAGTGATGACAATCTCAGGAAATGAATATTTGGAGGGCCGTTCTTGGTGAACGGAATTTACGTCTAGCCGCCTGATATTGTCTTTGTTTCCCCTAATAGTGGGGCCGCCTCCGAAGAAATCGCCTGCAATGGTGTAGACGACTGCATCATCTGTATCAGAGCTGTCAGCCTGTTGACTCTTTTTGGCCGACTGCTTTTTCGAGGAAGTGTTCCCCGTAGATTTCTTGACATAAGAGTCAAGATCGCCTTGCTCAGCCAGGCGGTCCAGATACCGCATGAGACTGATGCATTCGTTGGTGTGATGACCAACATCTTCATGATAATCACAGAATTTTACTTGGTTCCGGTTGCTTGCAGTACCCTTCATGGGGGCCGGCTTCTCAATTGAGATCCGTCCCTTGATTTCCTTTAGGATAGCTTGGCTATCCTTGTTAAACGCATACTTTGGGGAGTATGGTTTGAATTCTTTCCTCTTCTTCTAGGCCGGCTGTTTAGAGGAATCAGCCGCCCAGACCTCTTTTCTCTTCTTCTCATCTTTGTTCGACGACTGTTTCTGTCGTCCTTCTCTTTTGTCGAACCTTTTCCCGTCCGACTGTTTTCCCGTACTACAAAGATCAGTCGCCTGTATATAGGCTTCCGCTTCAATTAAGGCCTCTTGAAGAGTCGCCACCCTCTTTCGAACCAAATCAAATGTGAATGTCGACCCGTCTTTGAGGCCTCTGAAAAAGTCAGTATAGGCTACCTCATCCGGTAACCCTTGAATTTGTATTCTCATCCGGATAAACCGCCTGATGTAAGAACGAAGCCCCACCTTCTCGCCCTGCTGAATCGTTCCTAAATCAAGGGTCGTCTTCTTCGCAGGTATGTTCATGGCAAAGTTGGAAGTGAATAAGTAAGCAAGCGTCCTGAAGTTATTCACACAACCAGTCGGCAGGTTGCCGAACCATTGTTGTGCGATTCCTTTGAGAGTCACTGGAAAACACTTGCACCAAGTGGGATCATCCAACCCTTGAAGGTACATCAGGTATGTGAATGCCATCAAATGGTCTTCTGGGTTAGTAGTGCCGTCATAGGCGCCTACTAATACATTTTTCACTTTGGTCGGCTGAGCGGCTTCAGTAATTTCCTTGGAGAAGGTCGACGGTTGTTCCCCAAGTCTAAGCAATCGTAGCTGCCAGTCCATAGGTTGGACATTCTTTGTTGCATGCCCTCCAAATAGAGGTAAATATTGTTGTTGCGGTACAAATGGTAAGTTTGGTACCGCCTGGTCATTATGAAAGCCGGACTGACGGGAGGTACCGCCTGACTGACTCTCATGATGCGACTGAGTATACCTCATCGAGGTATTGCGTAGACTGTCTTGGAAGTCTTAAGTAGAGGCCGACTCTGACAATCGGTCATTCTTCTTCTGCTCTAGCAATAGCCGAGCATCTGTGTATGTTTTCTTCGACCCGTCCGCCTGAATATGACGAACAGGTTTCCTCTTTCCTGGAGTAGGAAAGCGGTACTTTGTGAAATCAAGGACAGGCGGCTCCCACTTCCTAGAGTTAGGATGAGGGGTCGCCTCTCGCCCTTGAACAAGCTTCCTCTTCCTGAAGAGGAAGGTTTCTTAGCCGACTGCTCCTTGGCCAGAACAGGCGGCTTCTTGTTGAGCAACTCTTGAATCTCTCCCTTGAAGCCCCTCATGAAGGTCATCAGTTCGTTTCTTGTAATGGGAGCAGACCCATCAGGCGGCTGCTGCTGAACAGGCGGTGCGCCGGCTGGATCACTGAGTCCAGTTTGAAGATCTTCCCGTTCTCTCCTTTCAGTATGACGGGTGCGTCGGGCCCTTAGGGTCCCGTCTGAAGCTGTGTGAGCTTCAACTTCAAATTCTTCCTCAGTATCATGGTCCGACTGAACTAGAGGGTCGTCTAGGGGACGCCTCTCTTCAGGAGTCGGTACAGACGTGGATGCCATCTCAGAAGTACTCTCCCCACAGACGGCGCCAACATGTTTCGGGGTTTTCTGATGTCCTGCGGGAGGGTTACAATTCTGAGACTGGAACCGGACGCCTGTACCTGCAAAACAAACGGATGCTCCGGACGATTGGAGATCCGCCTCCGACGGTCAAGTTAGTACTTGATTAAGGAGTAATTAATGCGGAAATAAAAGTAATTGGGTCTCTCTAGGTGAGAGTGTTAAATGTGCGTAATCTCCCTTAATGAGGATTAATGGGCATATTTATATGCCTTGGGATGCGTGCCAGTACTAGGTTTAGGTTAAACCTAAGGCTGACTGGGCCTCCCACAATGATTGGGCCTTGTTGGCCGATTTTCCCATTTGGCATGGGTGGACACGTGTCACATTGCAATTGGTCCAAGGAGGACGAATCTCTTGATGACACGTGGCAGGCTCCTATTGGCCTACATGAAGGACACGTGGCGAAACCTGGCTGGCCCACGTGTCGGATGTTGATTGGTGGATAAAAATACCCTAATCACTTAGTACTACTAATCAATCGAAGATAAGCTCATATTACTCATTCTATGTTGACCAAGATATTTTAGTGAACATAATAAGTCGGAGTATTATAATAAGGTGGTGGAAATGCACCAAAAAGTCCAAAATCTTTATATATGTACTTGACTTCGATATCACCTAACCACAATAATACAATATTATGATACTTCGTCTATATAATATTATAATATGACGAAATTACTAGAAGTTTGGTTTTGGTTTGTAAAAATTTATTACTCGTAGTACAAGCGTTTGAAACTCTGGTCAATGAAGGAAACAAGTGGTACCCCGCCGAGATTGCGCTTGGTATATTCTTCAAAGTACGATTTTTGGATATTCCTAACTACTTAGTAGTTTGTTTAATCAATACTCCTAAAATGTACTCGTGTCAATATACAGGATATATTATTTGTGAAAGAAAACAGGATTTTTCTCCCCAAACTAAGCTTCAGAGATAAAACATTATTTCGGACAGCATTTTATACCCTGATTTTTGTTTTTTTACAAAAAATAATTAAGGCATAAATGCTGTCTCGGACAACGTTTTTACCTGTCGACCTTTTTTTTTTAATTTCGTAAATTCTGATATTTAAAAAAAAAAAAAAAAAAAAAAAAAAAAAAAAATCAAACACACAAAAAAGTATTAAACGCTGGCTGAGGCAGCGTTTATTTCTTTAACATGAAACGTTGCCTGGGACAGCGTTTTATGTGCAATTTTTTTTTTTTACATAAAACGCTATATGAGGCAGCGTTTATTTCTTGAACATAAAACGCTGCTTGGGACAGTGTTTTATGTGCAATATAAAACGCTATTCGAGACAGCGTTTTTTTTTGCTGGCTGCAACACACAGCAACCAACAGACTCCTTAACATCAACATCAGCCCCCAACCCTCCAACACTCATTCAGCCACCACTCGCCACCACCACCCTCCAACACCATCCCCACCACCAACCCCAACCTCAACCACCATCCCTACCGCCATTCACGAACCCTGGCAACCTCCCCACCATCGACCACCACCAACCACCACCACCACCAACCACCGCTTTTGCCCACTCTTGGCCACTTCAAACCACTCAAACCACCCCCAACAGCACTATAACCACCATGAACCACCACATTAACCACGACCGGCCATCGCTTCTACCCCGTTTCTCATTATGGAGCCCAAATGTCTTGTGTTTGATATATATCGTCCTAGAAGGATCTATTTTGACTGACATAAGTCTGATTTGGACAAATAAGGAAATTAAACTTCAAACCACACACAGTTTCATTCAAAAAACATTTATTATATTAATAATGTAAGTGTTATATACAACATTCTAGAAAATCTGGCTACAACAAATAAATCAGCTAATACTATCCCGACTCATTTATTCGGGATAACTGTTCTCTATCCTGTCTGTCGGCCCTTCGTCTAACATTACGCCGCCTGTAATGTGTAATGGTGGTGAATGGGTCTCGGGGCGGTGGAGGAGTCTGCTGGCTGGACGATGGGCCCTCCTGAGTAGGGGTGGGCGCAGAACTGTGGATGATGTAATCCTCTGTGTCTCTGGGTGACGTAGGATCACCTCCACCGCTACTCTGGCCGAGCTCAAACTATGAATGGACGAGATAGCCGTGACCATATCTCTGTAAGGTAGCCACGCCCATATCACGCACCCGCTCGACCTGGGGTCTAGTGGGTCCGTCTGCAATGGCGATTGACAGTGCATCAACCATCACCACCATATCCGCCGCCTGCAGTAATCATCGATCAGTCAACTGTATGATATAGAAATAAAAAAATTGATGAAAATAAGTAGAATAAAAGGAACTCATATATCTGTTAATGACGTCATATGCTGGATGGTAATGTGTGGATGGTGGTGTGTAGCTGGGGTTAATGAAACGCCGTGTAATCTGCCTGTACCAGACCATGTACGGATCGTGAGGATCCATAACGCCCTGCATCGGATCACCTTCAACGACGAACTCCAACCGTCGCTGCCATACGTTAATGTAAACCCTATGCTCCACTGACCAGTCTATCTCCCCTCTTCCCCGACGGTCAATGCCGTACAGGCGGATACTAGTGTCACACTGCCAGGCAGTGGCGTCACCAGGATTTTCGAAGTGTGGGTTCGAAACTTCCGAAATTTGAAATCATAATTAACAAAGGAATAAAAATACAATAATTAAATATTCAGTACATAAATAAGTTCAAACTATGGATTACAAATAGATTACACATAGAAAAATGAAAAAAAAAAAAAAAAAAGACTACAGAAGCATTCTTCGAGTCTTCATACTTTGGAAGCGTTCCAATACATCATCATCACTAACTCTTGAAAATAAATCTCTTTCAAGAAAAGTGACTAAATTATCATTCAATAGTTGATCACCCATACTATTTCGCAACTTATTTTTTACGTATGTCATTGAGGAAAACACTCGTTCCACGCTTGCAGTTGCAACCGGAAGGATCAATGCTAGTCTTATAAGCAAGTAAACTAAGTTGTAAGTAGTATGCTTATTTGTTTCAACAAGCATCATAGAAAGCTCATGAATACCCTTCAAGTCTCCAAACCTTGCATCTTGGCGCACATCATTAATATAAAATTGAAGCTCATGACGAAGTGCAGTCATCGTCATATCATTAGTTGGAAACTCTTTGGGATATAACTCAGCAAGTCTCAACAACTTTTGCATATCAAATGCCGCAAATGAATTGATCGGGTTTAAGCATGACACACAAATAAGTAACTCCGTATTTTCTTCATCAAATCTACTATTGAGCTCTTGGAGTTGTAAATCAATGACACTTATAAACATTTCTACCCGAAATCGATGAAGATTTGAAACTTTGGCAAAGAAGCGTCTTGACCTTCCACGAGGAACATACATATCATCCATAGTAGGAACTTCTACATCATGTTTAACACAAAAACAAACCACAAGATGTAAAAAGTCTTCCCACCCATGGTCCCTCATTTGTTGTAATCCCTCCTTAGTCAATTTAACATATGTCATGGCATTAACAATATCTTGGTCCCCCTTTTGCAGAGCTTGACACAATTTATCAGTAATCCCAAATATTTCGGACATCAAATGTATCATAAATACAAATTCAAATGATTCAAATGTAGACATGACAGTGATAGCCTTCACGCGATCATCCTTATAAATCTTATTTGATCCAATCTTCTCAAGAACTTTAACAATAGTAGCATACAATGCGGTAACATTTGAAACAGTTTTGTAATGTGATCCCCACCTAGTATCACCAGGCCTACCTAAGCCATGTTCTTGGTTTAAACCTTGCCCACTTTCAATTTCTCCTAGTTCTAATGCTTGTAGAATATGTTGAGATTGTATTTCTCTTATCATTTCCCTTCGCTTACAAGAAACACCAATAATATTCAACAAAATAGCAAGTTGATCAAACAACCAAATACAATCATCATTATCCTTAGCAACAGCAACAAGGGTTAATTGAAGTTGGTGAGCAAAACAATGAATATAATAGGCTTGTTTTGTTTCATTCATGATCAAAGTCTTGAGACCATTTATCTCCCCCCTCATATTACTAGCACCGTCATAACCTTGTCCACGAACTCTAGACAAACTCAATGAATATTCCATAAGCAAAGACTCAATTGCACTCTTTAGTGACAAAGCAGTAGTATCCTTAACATGTACAATTCCAAGAAACCTCTCATTTATATTCCCTTTATTATTGACATAACGCAAGCAAAGGGCCATTTGTTCCTTTTGAGATACATCACTTGATTCATCAGCCATTATTCCAAAATAGTCATCCCCAATATCATCAATAAGAAGTCTAGTGGTTTCTTTGGCACAACAATTAATAAGTTCTTTTTGAATTGAAGGACTAGTCATTCGATTATTTCCCGGGGCATTACCTAGAACAACCTTTGCTACCTCACTATTATTTTCTAAAAACCATGTGAAGAGTGCAAGAAAATTACCCCTATTCCAAGATTCTTCACTTTCATTATGCCCACGACAAGCTAAACCTTGATTTAAAAGAAATCTAATACATTTCAATGAATAAGTCAAGCGAGATTTGTATTGTAGTTTAGCTTCCTTAGAATAAGTGCAAAGAGATTCAGTAACTGCTGTCTTTGGGTTGATAAACATACTATATTTCTCATTAGCCTGATTATGGAAACTACCAATACCACCCACATGAACATCAAATCTACCAGTCTTATTTCATCCTCTAAATCCCCCTTTAATAAAGGAATCATTAACAGCCAAAGAATAATCAACTTTATCAGTGAACAAATAGCACACAAAACAAAAAGCCGCATCTTTCTCAACACTATATTCAAGCCACTCATATTTATCAAACCAAGTAACATTAAAACGGCGCATACCTCCAACTTTTCTTTGAGGAAAATTATGTGTGCGTGGATCACAACGTTTCTTTGTAATACAGCCTCTCCTTACGGCATCTTGATCATTAGGAGGATACTCCATAATTGGAATTCTTTTTCCAGGGTCATGTGGAAGAAGATCAACATCATAAATGCGAGTATCATCGGAGTCAACAGTAGTATTTGGAACACTTGGACCTGTGTTCTCAGGTGGTGGATATGTTGCAGCAATAGGAACCTCATCATCATTAGGAGACACATGTTCTTCTATTGGAGGATCCCTTGAACTAGGTGAAGAACAAGTTGAAGACTTTTGTGACTTCCCGGCACGTTTCCAAAATGACTCTAAACTCATGGTATAATAGGTATATATTGCTAGTCTGCTACACACACATGATAAATGCAGAATGAAATCAATGAATGAATGATAAATCTAGAAAGCTAATTAAAACTATCGTAATGAAAGATTACAGTTAATTACTCAATTAGTAAACGAAATCTAGACGGCAGAAAAAGAAATAGCATATGAAATTATGAAAACTAGAAGGCAGAAAACGAAATACAGAAAATAGCATATGAAATTAAACAATGTAACAAAAAAAAATCCCCAAATTGAGAACTTGAGAAGTAAATTAGATAATTATAACCAAACTTCAGCAATTTACAAAAAATTGACAATTCGTAATGTATATTAGCAATTTAGCATATGAATTTCAAGTATTCAATGATTTAGCAAAAAAAAATCCCCAAATTGAGAAGTAAATTACATTTGCAAAAAAAAAAATCCCCAAATTCACTTACCTACATACACTGATACACGGCTGTGAGGCTGTCAGTGCTGTGACGGACGACGGTGGGTCTGCTGGCCTGCTGGGTGAGTGGCTGGTGCGCTGCCGCTGCCACCGTGTTCTGGCGTTCTGCTGACTGATGCCGTGTTGCGCCGGGAAGAGAAGGAGGAAGAACGGGAAGAGAAGGACTGAAGGAGGAAGAACGGGAAGAGATTAAGAGAAGGAGGAAGAAGTTAGGGTTTTGCAATTTGGGGAATGAGGAAGAGGAAAGCTGGAAGCAGGGAAAGCTCAGGAAACAAAATTAAAAAAAAAAAGTGTGAGTTATGGGTTTTGAACCCACAAACTCTTGTGTGATGGGAGGTAAAAATAACCACTGGGCTACAACTTTACTTGTTGTCATATAATACACAAATATTCTATTTAAACCTATTTTGATTTATTTATTTTTTTTAAAAAAAAGTTTTTAATTTTTTTCAAAAAATCAGTGGGTTCAATGAACCCACTTGAACCCACCCTAGCTCCGCCACTGCTGCCGGGGCACGGGCTGGAGTAGTCCAAACTGTCGCATGACTCGGTCGGGGAGGTGACTCTCCACAACCTCAAAACAGATGACGGGGTTCCTAGCACGCCACTCTGCCTGATGGTCCAGCAGATGTGCAGGCATGGCATCAACCAAGTCAGCTACATACGGATCCCATGTCACCTGCAAAAACACATCAAAAGTAATACCGTAAATAGGTTAGTGCACTGACAAGAATCATATTAAATTACTATTTACAAATTCCGTTTAAGTTACCACCTGATCCTCGGTGAGTCGGTCTAGGGCGTCTCGGTAGTACGGAAGACACCTCGCCGCATGCGCAAGTTTCAGTCTGGGGACCACCCACCTAATATCAAAAAATGTTTCAGTTAGTCAACTAGCACAATAAAACCATATGAAGTCTAAAGTAATGGCAACTGTAACAAACCTGCAACCGTACGCCTCATCAGGTGTAGGGAGCGGTGGAGCATCATACGCTTGGTACTGGTCGTCCCAGTCCTGCTCCCCCCGACGATGTCTAGCAGGCCTACCTGGTCTGCCTACATGGATATGCTCCCAAGCCCAGAATTGCAATACAAAAATACAAAACTAGGTTTAGTATAAACTAGGTAAGTGGCTTTCGAAATAGGTTGTTGGTAATTAGGTGAGTTACCTGAAGCACAATCAAGGGACTCCGATCTCGTTAGAACCGCGGTGGGATGCTCTACACAGCTGGCGATACAACGACGCCAAACAGGCACTACCCCAGCTGTAGCCACGGATATGATCCCAGTCGTGGTCTAACAGTTGTAGGTAAATGAGCTGCAGATGGCTCCCGCTCTTGTTGCCACACAAGACGCCCGAGATGAGAAAGAACAAGTGCGCCCGAGCTTATCTCTGAACCGTGGAATCATCAGCGCCCGGAGGCAGCTCACAGAAAGTCTCGCGTATCCAGCCGGTCCTCAACCCGAACCCCCGGATCGATCTCGTCAGGACCTGGCTGAACCCCAAGAAGCCGAGCTACCAAACCAATGGGATCTACTAACGCATGTCCTGTCACCGCAGTCCCATGTATAGGAAGGCGCGTGAGTATCGCGACGTCCCGCAACGTAACTGTCGCCTCCCCAACAGGTAGGTGGAAGGAGTGCGTCTCCTGTCTCCACCTCTCCGCGAGCGCAATGACAAGGGCTCGATCGATCTCCCTGAACGCCATCTGATGAAAACCACCCAAGCCAACCAACTCAACGTACGCAATAATGCGTGGATCGACAACCCATTCCCCCATAAACCTGGTAGTATAGTGCCTGCAAACCAGCTACTTTGCTAGATCAACCTGATAAAAAATCGTACAAACGTAATTGATATCAGATATTATATCAATTTAACATGCATAAGTACATGAACGGACGGATGAAATATTACCGTCTGGTCCCATATGGCAACGCTCCGATGTGTGTCCTGTAGTGTCAGGAAAGAAGGGTCAACGGGTCTGGGCGTCCTATCTTCTCCGTCCATGATATATGTTCATTGAAAGCGTTATACATCAAATACCAACACAATTACTGGATTAGCAATTAAACATAAGATGGACGAGTTAAAGGCAAAGACAGAAAATTTCAAACGACAATCAAGTAGAAAATAGAAATGATCCAAATTTTACAAATGTTACAAACTTTAGAAAATCTGATACAAAATAATTCTACGTTCTACTACTACAACAAATAACAAATACAAACTTAGGTCCTATGTCGGTCTAGATGGACACGTTGTCCGGTTGTGACCCTGCTGGTGACAGCGGCTGCATTTGCTCGGGGGCCGGTTAGTCTCATCCATTTCATTGCGTATGCGCTTTGACCTTGACCGCCCTTTTCCACGTACCATGCTACCATCAGGAATGAGTTTAGGGCCGACGTACTGCGTCCAGGTTGTCTCGCAGGGGATAGGCCAGAATTGTGGTGCATAGGTGTTCGTGTAGGCCTCCGATTGCAGCACAGGGTCCACCCACGGCTGCTCTGATAGTGAATACGTCGCACAAACTACTAGAACATGAGAACATGGGAGGTGGAATATCTTTGGTTTGTTGCATGTACACGTTCTCAACTGAAAGTTGACAGTATGTTTATGGCCTCCTTTACTACCAAGTCGCTCTCCCCTTTCTGTTGTAACTTGGTAAATATGCAATCGGCGGTTATACGCATCCAATGTGTGGTATCTGGCTTTTGCGGTGCTCTTCTCCAAAATGGCAGTGACCTTGGGGGGGTATGCAAGTCCCTGTTCAGACCTAGCCTCAGAAGACTCCCTTCTCAAAGTGAAATACCTTTTAACTCTGTGGAAAGTTAACTCGACAAGGGACATGATCGGTAGAAACCGAACTCCCTTCAACACATTGTTAAATGTTTCAGAGGAGTTTGTAGTACATATCCCATATCTGCGACCAGCGTTGTGAAAGAGAGACCACATAGTGAACGGGACTTGGACAATATACTCCATGGCCTTGGTACATGCATCACCGATGAAACACAGATTAGCTTGAAGTTTTCTTTCTTGCCTTTGGTACGCCGCAGCCTTGAACATATCTCTCATTTCGTTGCTATGTGAGTCTTCAAGTTAGAAGCTATGTGGCAAACACAAAACCTGTGATAGGCTCGCGGCTCGATGAATCCAACGTTAGGATCATTCATTGTTGCAATGATCCCAGGATGTCGATCAGATATAACACAGAGGCCATCTCGTTGCATGACATGAACCCGAATGCAGCCAAGCAACCAAGACCAGCTAGAAGTGTTTTCCCCTTCAACCACCGCAAATGCTAGCGGAAATACTTGGAAGCTTGCATCCACACTTGTAGAAACTAACAGTGTTCCTTTGTACTTCCCGTACAAGTGCGTCCCATCGATACAGATAACAGGCATACAATGTTTAAAACCGTCGATACAAGGACCGAAGGCCAAAAACACTCGTTCAAACACTTCCATGTTGCTGTAGTATACACCGTCCACCAAAGCTTTGTGTTTCCATACGACACACGTTCCCGGGTTTGACTGTTGGAGTGCTTGCATGAAGTGCGGAAGTCTGCCATAAGAACTCTCCCTATCCCCAGATATTTCAGCTATTGCTTTCTCCTTCGCATACCATGCTCTTCGATACGGAACATCGAAATGAAATTGCTTGGAGATGAGTTCCTGTATGAATTCAACTTTCAAGGACGGATCTTTCCGCATAAAGGACTTCACATTCTCTGATATTATGGACGAATCCAAGTGCAGGTGATCAGTAGATAGTACTTCAGTGACACAGTTCTCCCGGTGCGGGCCTTTGTACATAACTAGGGTAAAGCCACGCGAGCGCTCACTTGATTTGGTACCCCGTAGCATCTAACCACATTTCTTCTTGCACCGCAAATGAAGGACACTCTCATTCGATGTCACTGTAGTGTAGAATTGATTCCTCTATATTGAATACATCTTCACCATTTCATGAAGCACTTTCTTACTTTTAAAATACATCCCCTTCTCAAATTCTCCCCCGGGAACAAACGATGTATGGCTACCCGATTCGGCCCAATACTAATCAACTTCATAGTTATCGTTCACCAGACTGAACTAAGGTACGGGAGTTCTAACCAGGGGCTCGCCAACTTCCATGTGTGCAGGTTCAACATCCATGTTCTGAAGTCCATCTTCCTCCTCTCCGCTCTCGGCCTCATCATTTGTATACACATCATACACAGACAATTCGTTATTCACAATAGTTTTAAGATGAATTGGCACAAGTTGAGATGGCGATGCTTGAACATCATCTTGCATAGGCGAATAACTATGCAATTACATCGGTGAAGGTGTGACGGTGTTTGATGTCGAAGGCTCAGGTTGCCCGGTCATTGCTACATATGCCCCCCATGTACAGGTGAAGCCATATGAGAACTAAACGGCATGTGAAATTGATCGTCATAGAGCATTCGACTGAAAGATCCCATCCCATATTCAGTTGATGGAATGTCGTGTGAGGGCACTTGGCAGGGCTCTATGTTGTAACCGGAAATATATGTAGATTGTTGTTCTGGTCGAGTACTTTGTTGGGTACATATAGGCACCATTTCTACATATATATTAGTGGGATCACCCTTCATTGCAACAACGCTCCTTAAAGCTTTCAAATGCTTATTCGTAGAAACAGGTAACACTTGAATACCATTGCCAGTCTCAAACCTCATTTTAATGTTTAGTTCAACATTCCTTGGGTTTAAACCAATACTACTATGAACCTCGTTCATCAAATCATTGAAAGTCATGTTCGGTTCAAGTGTTAGTGGTTCCATATATCCTCCACTATACTCGACATGGGGTCCATCAAACAGAATTTCACCTCCCCACCGGCATAACAAAACTACATTTTGTGCAGCCATATTCTACATAACCGAAACACATTTTAGGATAATTGAAATCTAGAGCGAGGTAAAAAAAGGTTGCCCACAAACTAAGCATTAACTCCATTTATAAACTCTTAGTTTAGGTTGAAATGCAAAACGATTACTAACAAACTAATATTATAAACATTACACTAATATGAATTGATAGATAAATTATCAATAATGAAATAAGAGTCTTCTCACCAATTATATTTCACATATTACCATCAATAATTTCAACAATTTCACATATATGTACCACATTACCATCAACAATTTCAACAATTTCATGAACAATTTCATCAACAATGTACCACATCACCATCAATAATTATCAACAATTTACCACATTTTCATTAATAATTAGCAACAATTTGATACAATTTACATTAATTAACCACACTTAAGAGCAATTACACTAATTTGAATTTAGGGTTTACCACAAAATTGAGTGAGTGAGAGAGAGAAAGAGGGGCAACAACAACAACGACAGTCGGCAACAGCGGTGGCGATGGTTGAGTGTGAAAGTGTCCGTTAGTGAGAGGGATTAATACTATGAGAGTGAAATTGGAGCTGAGGATGAGTGAAGTGAAAATCCTGCGACAAAACACGAAAATACAAACCCAAGAAACGCTGTCTCAGGCAGCGTTTCATTTAAAAAAAAAACACTATAAACGCTGTCTCAAGCAGCGTTCTATGTGCTATTGAATTTTTTTTCTTTTAATTTTTAAAAAATCAGAAATTACACAATTTTTTTTTAAAAAAGTCAACATCTAAAAACGCTGTCCGAGACAGCGTTTTATACTTAAATTTGTTTTTTTTTTAAATCAGGGCATAAAACGCTGTCCGATACAGCGTTTTATCCCATAAGCTTAGTTTGGTAAATAGTTTTTCCACGCAACCTCTTTGCAAATTATTTTGCCTAATAAGCTTAGTTTGGAGAAAAATCCAAGAAAACAATATAGAGATTAATAATGATGAAACGACGTATCTTGTAATTTTTGTTGTGGAGTAGTAGTTAGATTATTAAAATTGGTCTTCCGTTATTTCATCAAATCAAATATTTTTGTCACACTTTTTAAATGTTTGATTGATATTTTAAAGTTTTTTTCCTAAGCAACTTTATATATAAATAAATTCAAAATGACTTGTCAATTGTCACTATACCCTTTTTTCGGTCACATCTATAATTTTTTTTGTTTAACTAATATGAGCTCATTTTACTCTAATGCTTTGTTTTGTAAAAAGTGCAAGTAAAATTGAGATCCCAAAATAAATAAGAAATAATTTTAAGAAAATATTGTTCTTTCCTTTTATGGAATTAGTTGCAACTAATTTGGTACCACTTTATGTAACACCCCCAAATCTCCCTCTACGAAAATATTAGAATAATACGTATAAAATACCGTAGAGATAGACTTGGGTGTATTACCGCCACGTGTAAACGTAAGGCTAACTCAAACCAACTAACTTAGCAACGGAAATTAAAACTAACTTTATATTATTAAACACTTAACCAAAGTTGGTGAGTACAAAATCATTATGAAACTTCAAAAGAAACCCTAAACTAGGTGATCAATCCCGAACTCCCTGATTTGGGGATTTTTATCCACCAATCCCCTTCTGACAAGTGGACCAACCAGGTTCCGCCACGTGTCCTTCACGAAGGACAACAGGAGCCTGCCACGTGTCAGTCACAGATACGTCCTCTACGGACCACTATAGACACGCCACGTGTCCACCCATGCCAGATGGGAAAACCGGCCACCAAGGCCCAATCCAGTCTAGAGGCCCGATTAACCCTAGGTTTACCTTAAACCTAGAGAGTTGCACGCTTCTCAAGGCTATAAATACTTAATTAATCCTCATTAATCACAGAATAGAATAATCAAGAGATCAAGCAGAGAAGAACAGAGTTATTAACAACCGGCTAATCTCGCTAACGACGCAGATTACCAACACTAAGCACTCTCACCTAGAGAGATCTCATTACTTTAATTTCTGTATTGATTACTCCTTAATCAGGTACTAATTTGACCGTTGGAGGCGGAGCTCTCAGGAGTCTCCGTTATTTTGCAGGTACAGGCGTCCGGTTCCAGTCTCGGAATTGTAACTCTCCCGCAGGACATCAGAAAACCCCGAAACATTTGGCGCCGTCTGTGGGGAGAGTACTTCAGAGATGGCATCCAAGTCTGTACCGACTCCAGAAGAGAGGCGTCCCCTAGACGACCCTCAAGTTCAGTCGGACCATGATACCGAAAGTGAATTTGAAGTTGAAACTCATACAGCTCCAGACGGGACCCTAAGGGCCCGACGTACCCGTCATACCGAAAGGAGGGAACGGGAGCATCTTCAAACAGGAAGCGAGCCAGCAGGCGCACCGCTTGCTCGGCAACAGCCGACTGATGGGTCTGCTCCCATCACAAGGAACGAACTCATGACCTTCATGAGGGACTTCAAGGGAGAGATCCAAGAGTTGATCAACAAAAAACCGCCTGCTTCAGTCAAAGAGCAGTCGGCCAAGAAACCTTCCACTTCACTAAAGAGGAAGCCAGTTCAAAGGCGAGAGGCGACTCCCCATCCTAAATCCAAGAAGCGGGAGCCGCCTGCTCTTGATTTCACAAAACTCCGTTATCCTACGGGAAATAGGAAACCGGTTCGTCATATTCAGGCGGACGGGTCAAAGCAAACGTTCACAGATGCTCGGCACCTGCTAGAGCAGAAGAAGAGTGACCGATTATCAGAGTCGGCTTCTACTTCAAATCTTCAGGACAGTTTGCGAAATGCCTCGATGAGGCATACTCAGTCGTACCATGAGAGTCAGTCAGGCGGCACCTCCCGTCAGTCCGGCTTTCATAGTGCCCAGGCGGTACCAAACTTACCATTTGTGCCGCAACAACAGTATTTTATGCAGCCACCTCCATTTGGTGGACCTGCAGCAAAAAACGTCCAACCTATGGACTGGCAGCTACGGCTGCTTAGACTTGGTGAACAGCCGTCGGCCTTCTCCAAGGAAATTACTGAAGCCGCTCAGCCGGCCAAAGTAAAAAATGTTCTAGTAGGCGCCTATGACGGCACTACTAACCCAGAAGACCATCTGATGGCATTCACCAACCTGATGTACCTTCAAGGGTTAGATGATCCCACTTGGTGCAAGTGTTTTCCAGCGACTCTCAAGGGAATTGCACAGCAATGGTTCGGCAACCTGCCGACTGGTTGTGTAAACAACTTCAGGACGCTTGCTTACTTATTTGCATCAAACTTTGCTATGAACATCCCTGCGAAGAAAACGACCCTTGATTTGGGAACAATTCAGCAGGGCGAGAAGGAGGGGCTTCGTTCTTACATCAGGCGGTTCAACCTGATGAGAATACAGATTCAAGGGTTACCGGATGAGGTAGCTTATACTGACTTTTTTAGAGGTCTCAAAGACGGGTCTACCTTTAAATTTGATTTAGTTCGAAAAAGGGTGGCGACTCTTCAAGAGGCCTTGATTGAAGCAGAAGCCTATATACAGGCGACTGATCTGTGTACGATAAAACAGTCGGACGGGAAGAGATCCGACAAAAGAGAGGGACGACTGAAACAGTCGTCCAACAAAGATGAGAAAAGAAGAGAGGTCTGGGCGGCTGATTCCTCTAAACAGCCGGCCCAGAAAAAGAAAAAAGAATTCAAACCATACTCCCCAAAGTATGTGTTTAACAAGGATAACCAGTTTATCCTAAAAGAAATAAAGGGACGGCTCTCAATTGAGAAGCCGCTCCCCATGAAGGGTTCTGCGAGCAACCGGAACCAAGACAAAATCTGTGCTTATCATGATGACGTTCGTCATCACACCAATGACTGCATCAGTCTCATGCGGTACCTAGACCGCTTGGCTGATCAAGGTGATCTTGACACTTATGTCAAGAAATC